GGACCTGCTGCACCAGTGTGACTGCGGTCCGGGTAATGGTGGGCCGTGCTCTGTCTCGGGTGATCTGCAAGCCAAGGTAGCTGCGCACCTTCACCCAGGTCTGTGCACGTGTGTCTCTTCTGCAAACTCGGACTTCAACGTGGGCGAGTCCAGCAGTGTCAGGTGTGGCAAAGACCAAGTCGTCGACGTACCACGAGGATGTAGAACGGCGGCAAAGAAGTGTGGTGCGCAGAGAACAGCGGCGGGTCGGCAGTAGAGGGAGCAAACCAAGAGCCGCAAGTGTAGTCCCTCAGTGTGTCGTGCCACCTCACGCGATGCCTGGCGGAGACCGTTAGACTGGTCGCCGGAGGAGGCTCCACTGGGTACCAGGAGGAAAAGACCCAGTGAAGCCAGGGGGCGACGCAGCCAGATCTCCTCGTGCAGGCTTGCCCCTGCAAGAAAGCAGTGCTGAAGTCAAGAGAGTGCAGCTTGTAGTCGCGCGTGAGCAGCTATGTGCAGCAGTACCCGACGAGTGGTCATCTTCGGGGTGGGAGAGAAGGTCTGAAAGTAGTCAACTCCCTGCCGCTGACTGAAGCCACGTAGCCACGTAACGCGCCTTGAAGACAGGCGGAGAAACCGGCGGCGCTTCACCCTGATAATCCACATGCCACTGACGATGTTCGCCCCAGGCGGGGGAACCTCGTCAACGTAGGTGCCTGTGGACTTCCAGGAAGCCATCTCTGTATCCATAGCTGCCTGCCACTGAGAGGAGTACGGACCCTCTATCGCCTCCGCGTAAGAGCGCGGAGTCGGGATGTCAAGTGCATCCGGGTCTCCCTCAGGGGTAAGCAGTTTGGACACGAGAATGAGGTGAAGCAGCAGCCAAACACTGGAAACTCCTCCTGCCTGGCCTCAAGGACGTCCGTGCCAAGGGCACACTCACCCCCGACGGACGGAGGACAGACAGACTCAGACTTAGCGATTAAGACTAGCAGCGTAGTCTAGACGACAGCGAGCAGCGAAGTCGACGAGCTCAGCAACTAGGGCAGACGCAGCAGTGGACTCAAAGGAAGGGTCAGTCACGACAGTAGCAAGGAGACGCTGGTGACAGTAGGAGTGGTAGCATGAAGAGAGTCCGACTCCGGGTTCCGCAAGAGCAGGAAGCGAGGACTCAGGAGGAGAAGGCAAAGGCGCACGCAGAGGAGCAGTGGACAGACGTAGAGACATCCGGTGCATGCCACGAAGAGGAGGAGGACGCTGACGCGAACCACAACCACTAGTGCGAGCAGGACGGACAGGCGACGCAGGGCGAGACGCAGGCTCACGAGGCTCAGCAAGACCTCCAGTAGGACCAGTGTAGGGAGAAGGAGCAGGCAATGGGGAGGCCGGTTGTAACTGTAACTGTGACGGGACAGGATGTGGACACTCCAAGGGAGGAGGAGGACCAGTAGAAGGCGGGAGGACCAAGAACCTGCTGAAGGAGCGGAATGAAGTACGGCCGAGGCCGCGCGGCGACTCCAGACACAGCAGGGACAGCACCAGTACCCCCAGCGGTAGCAGCCAGCGCCAGCAGCACCTCCAGCTCTAGTACCTCCAGCAGGCACCATTAGCACCCCCAGCAGGACCTCCTCCAGGACCGACTAGCAGCAGCCTCCGCGCCAACACCCTCAGCAGCTCCAGCTCCAGACGTACCCGCAGGCCCAGCAGCTCCAGTACTTCCAGTACGAGCACCTCCGGGGACCCGCGGCACCAGCACCCCTCAGCAGCCGAAGAACCTCCAGCTCCAGCAGTACGGCTCCAGCGGCGGGCAAACCACTCGCGCAGCTCCTGTGGAGAGAGTGGCTCCCGCCGAGACGAAGCACCAGGAGAACCTCCAGGCCTAGCACCGCCAGACGCCCACACGAGCAGGCCCAGCTCCCTCAGGCTCCGCACCCCCAGGCTCAGCACCTCCAGGCGTAGCACCCCCAGGTTCAGCACCCCCAGGCGTAGCACCCCCAGGCTCAGCACCCCCAGCCTCACGCACCCTCAATGGTAGCACCCCCAGGCTCAAGCACCCCCAGGCTCCGCACCCCCAGAAGTAGCACCCTCAGGCTCAGCACCCACAGGCGTAGCAACCCACACGCTCAGCACCCCCAGAGTCAGCACCCCCAAGCCCAGCACCCTCAGCAGCACCATAGTCACCAGTAACCTCGACAGGCTCGACTGCGTCTACCTGGGACACACCGTAAGGGGCAAGACCCTGAGGGAGGAGGGGTTCTACCGGGGGGGGACCTGGCACAAGGAAGAGCGGTGGCGAGGGGAGGGACGGAGTGCGGTAGGGGAAGCGGCGGGTAGTAGGGGAACCGACTCATCAAAGGTGACGTCCTGGGAGGACAGAATATGGCGAGAGGTGGGGTGGTTGAACTGCCACCCTGGCGCATCAGGGGGGAAGCCAAGGAAGACGCAAGGAGCAGCACGATGGGGACAGCTTTGTCCGCAGACAAGTCGCTGACAATACGCCCGAGATCCCCAGACACGGAACGCAGACGCATCGCCAACCTTCCCCGTCCACAGCAAAGCTGGGGAGGTCTGCGGCCATGGAGACCCTGGGCTGAAGGTTGATCTGATGCGCCGCGTACCGAACCGCAAACGGCCACAGAAAATGGGGGGCAGCCGCATGCATCATGGACGTACGAGCGACGTCCATGACCATGCCAATGCGGCGCTCAGCAATCCCATTTTGCCTGTGGAGAGTCCGGAAGCGTGGAGGTCTAGCGGATGCCTCGTGCCACAACAGTAGGCTCGCAGAAGGCAAGAGGAGAACTCTCCGCCTCTGTCAGAGTGCAGACGCAGAACAGGGAAAGTCCGAGCCGAAGCTCTGCCTGAGCTGGAGACGAGCTGCGCGGATCCGGTCCGATCAACACCGCAGTGGACATCACCCTTGCTGCGCAAGGGGAAGACCTTGGTGTAACGAGAGTAGTCGTCAACCACCAGCAGGAAGTAGCGCTCGTGACCTTGTCCACGGACGCGGGCCGGGCCCCACACGTCCATGTGAAGCGTCTGCAGAGGCGGGCCTCTGTCGGAGGAAACTGGGAGGAGTGAGGGGCAGCCCGCTGGCGCCCCCTCGACACAGGGGACGCAGGTAGGGCCAGGCCCCGGAGGAAGGGGAGGGAGGGACCAGGGAAGACCAGAAGAGACAAGGACACGGGCGGCCATGCCTTGGAGACGAGGCAGGGAGGGGTGACCAAGGCGGTGGTGCCAGAGGAGAGTCTCGTGAGACAGGAGGCGACACGAGCAGGGGGCAGACTCAGGACCAGACCTGGACGCTACAGCAAACACCCTGACCCGACGCAGCTACCTGACCCAGACGCAGTGACTGGAGGAGACGCATGTGGTCTGTGTGTACAGGCTCGACCCCGGCCGACTTATAAACGTGGCCAGGTGTCGGCCTGTCCGAGCGTCCGTGTAGTGGGTCACCCGCTGACTCGCAGGAGTGAACTGTGTGAACCCCCGCATCCTGTAGGTCAGCACCACTCACCAAGTTTGTAGAGAACGAGGGGACGGTAAAGACAGACAGGGTGCCAGAGGGGGCCGCCGGACACAGGAGGACAGTGGAGAAGTGAGCAAGGACGGGACCCCCAGAGGGGTCTGCCGGAGAGACTGCAACTGGCCGGCCAAGCGACCGTAAGTGTGGTGCGGTTCTCGAAAGAAGGAGCGAGAAGCCTCCGAGTCAAGGGTGAAGGTGAGGGAGGCCGAAGCCGATGCAGTACCTGAGAGAGCCGACTCACCAGCACCTGAGGGAGCAGACGCACGAGCACCTAGAGCAGCAGCCTTTGCTAGCACCTAGACCAGCAGCCTCACCAGTACCTAGAGCAGCAGTCTCAATGCCCGGGTCGGGCGGAAAACACCGGTAACAGTCATCCTCATCACTAATAGTCACAGCATACATGGCAGCAAGAATAGCATCAAAGTCAAGGTCAAAGACAGCTACTCCCGCCCTAGACAGCTCGCCCCAGCGGGGGTCTCAGTGGCCTCAGGGAACTGGTGACGCCAAGCGTCCGTCAGGCGGCCAAAGCAGCGCTGGGTGGAGTGCGCAACCCCTGCATTGCTCATTCGCCGCGGTCGCCGGTGCGTAGGACGTAGGTGCACGGACCAGTACCCCCACCCCGTTGGAGTGCAGCGTACCACTCACGGAGCTGCTGAGGGGGGGGGATGTCACGAGTGCGCCTGCTGCTGCTGCTACTGCTGCTGCTGCTGCTGCTGCTGGCGCTGACAACCACCGGAGCCGACCCTCTGCGCAGCGGCCACCTCCGACCAGCTCCACCTCCTCCACCGCCACCTCCTCCACCGCCGCCACCTCCGCCACCTCCGCTCCCACCGCCACCGCCGCCGCCGCCTCCGCCTCCACTGCCGCCACCGACACCTCCACCCCCGCCACCACTCCCACCACCACCCCCACCCCCTCCACTGCCTCCACCGCCACCTCCGCCACCCCCGCCAGCCCCTCCAGCACCCTTGCCCCCCCTTGCCCTTGGCGGTTGCGGCATTTCCCGCTCGGGGCAGACGCAGCGCCGACCGACTCGAAACCAACAAGGTCGGCCGCAGCAGCAGAGGCAACAGAGGGCAAAAGGGGGGAGGGGGAACACCCCTCGAAGACGGGGGTGCGAGGGTCACCACGAGAGGCTCCTACAGCGACTATGCTCTTCTCTACTGCTAAGAGGGCCTTCTCGAGGAGGTCAACGGTGAGAGTGGTGGGCAAACTGAGAGGAAGTGGTCCCTGACTACGCGAAGGGAGTCAGGGAGCCAGGTGACTATGTAGTAGAGGGTGATGTACATGGGGGGGGGCGGGGTTCTTGGCGCAGAAGTCAGCACGAAGCGCAGCGCTGGTAGCGAGTGTCACTAGTGCGGAGGTGCGTAATGAGGTCAGCGACTGTGGGAAAGGCAGCAAGGTCAGGGAAGAGGTACGGTAGCATGAAGCGGCTGAGTGCAGCAGTGGCAGGGGAGGAGTAGCGCGCAACTACAGCGTCGTACAAGGTCTGAGCACTCTTGTACTGGCTAAAGTGCGCACGCTCAGAGGTAGGGATGGTGGCGACGCACAGCAAGACGTGCAGCAGCATCGCGTGTGGCCCACGGTGAGCGAACAGTGGCGTCGGCATCAGCAGCAGGGGCAGGAGAGGCACCAGAGGTGAGGTCAAAGAGGGAGAGACCGTCTGCCCTATCGCACTGTAGGAAAAGCTGCAGGTCATCTACCCAGACGTCAAAGTCAATGGCCCAACCCTCAGCGTCAAAAGCGAGGACACTAGGGGTAGCCATGACAGCAGTAGACTAGCAGCGCGAACAGTAGGGTAAGGGCAGTGCAGTGATAGAGGCGCTGCTCTTACCGGACAGGGCGGCTCGGGCGGCTCGGCGGCTCGGCAACTCGGCGGCTCGGGCGGCTCGGCGGTACGGCGGCTCGGCAGCAACTGCGGCTCGGCGACTCGGCGGCTCGGGCGGCTCGGGCAGCTTGGTGGTACAGCGGCTCGGCAGCAACTGCAGCTCTGCGGCTCGGCGACCCGGCGGCTCAGGCGGCTCAGGTGGCTCGGGCGGCTCGGCAGCAGCTCGGCGGCGCCGGCGGCTCGGTGGTGACGGCGGGGCCGCGTGGGGACGGCGGCGGGGCCGGGTGGAGCGGCGGCGGGGCCGGGTGGAGCGGCGTCAGGGCCGGGTGGAGCGGCGTCGGGGCGAGTAAGTAGAGGCTGGCGTCAGGGCCGGGGTGGAGCGGCGTCGGGGCCTTGTAGAGGCGGCGCCGGTGCCGGGAAGGGCAGCTCCGGGACCGCAGGGGTAGGCGACGTGGCTAGCAGAGGTGGCGCCGAGGCAGGGGATGGGCGGCGCCGGGGCCGCTAGGGCGGCTAGGAGGGGGGGGGGTTTCGCGAGGGCGGTTTGAAGAGGCCGCGAGGGCGGCGCGACGCGACGGAGCCGCGAGGGCGGCGGATCGGGGCCGCAAGGGCGGCGCGACGTGAAGGGGCCGTGAGGGCGACGCGACGGGGCCGCAAGCGCGACGCGACAGGGTCGAAAGGGCGGCTCGACGGGGCCGTGAGAGGGGAGCGCGACTCGGGCAGTGTAGAGCGCGCTCCGGGCAGGAAAAAAAAAGGTGGTGGGCCCTAGGAACAGTTGCCACAGGGGAACCTGCTCGATACCATGAGAAACTGAACGAGAATGAAATGACTAAGGGAAAGTTGGGTACAAGTACAAACCCTAGAAAGCTGTACCCCATATGTGCTACCCTACTATAGCCTACAGTAGCTATGTCATATAAATCTGACAAGTGTGACCCCTTCGGAAAATTCTTTTCCATCAGGGTTTTTCATAGTTTCAAAAAAAAAACCCTTATGCCACAGTGTAACAATTTTCAATACCTTGATGAAGTATTTCTAATGAAGTTTTGAATGAAAACGCGGGCTACGAGATTTGAACTCAAGTCTTAGCGGGACAGGAAGTGCGAGGGCGAATTGGGGGGGAGGGTGTTAGGGGGAAGGGGAGGGGGGGGGGGGGGGGGGGTGGGGTGGGGGGTATGGTACTCGCTTCAGGGTAAATCTCGTTAAGAAATCGGTATCCGTGAGCCATCAGTGTGCCTTAAATGTAAACACTGGCATATCAGGAAAATTCTAGCTCCCGAACAAATTACCCTAGGCCATCAGTGTGACTACCCAAAACCACCCTGATAATCAGGGTATCAGGGTGATTTACACTGATAAAATTTGCTCTGATCGCACCCCGACCTCACGGCTCGGCGGGTAACCCGCGCTCCGGGCCTCCGCTTCGACACTTTTTCCCAACCTCAGTCCCAGTCCCGTCGCGCGACAGCCTCAGTCCATTACCGTTACCATTGTAGTTTAGCTATATATTCTTCGCTCATGCCTTCGCTCATTGTACTCTTGCTTCGATAGTGCAATTCTAGTTCGTTCACTCAATTGCACTCGTAACACATAGAAATAATATAAGGAAAATACGCGTTCTTGTCCTTCGTGTGCAACTGTATGGGTCTGGCGGTGTGGAACTGCTACAGTTAAGTCATGCACATACGAATAGATGATACAGAACCACCTGGGGTAGGTGAGTGGGGTTTTGGGTGGCGGCGTTGCTTATGAATTCGCGAAAGACCTTCGCAAAAATCGTTAGGCTGGCACAGTGAAGGTGGCGAATCAGATCGGTGTTGTCGCGGGCTCGCCCACCCTGGATGGAATCAAGGGAGAATAAGAAAATGCCTGCTGTAATCATGTGTTACAAGAGACAACTTCAGAGGTTTGACTTTTTTTTTTTCAGAGTGGTTGGATGAATGTTGTGTAGGGTTTATTTAGCACACCCTGGAATCACCAACCGAAAAAACGAGAGAGAAGCCATGGTTTCGGTCAGTCGGTCGGTTGGTTGATTCGCACAACGCGCGTCACGTCAGTGACGTCACCTTCACCTTCACATTCACCTTCGATGGCTGGCTGGCAATAACTGTACCACACTGCACAGACAGCTCGGCTGCACGGCCTTCAAGCATATCCATGAACAGTCGACGCCATGGTTCGGTGGAGTGCAATGCAGCAGACAGTGGGCCTTATTCACCCATTTCAATTTGCTAGCTTTCTCTCCCTCTCACCAGCTCATTCCCCACCGACTCCAGCGAAGGTGGTCCTCTTGAAAGGCCCGTGCCATAACCCTTCACGACGCGACACACCATTATCCATTCCTCTTCCTACGCATCGTTTCGGCGTGTCCGTTCCTTCGTTTCTAGTTTCGCTTCTGCGATACACCTTCCTCTTCATTGTCGTCAAACCTAGCAGTATAAGTACCGTGACCGCGAGCCTTCTTTGGACTGGGTAGTATAGTACTGATTCCTGCTACTGTAGCACTATCGTGTGTGCGTGCATTTCGCGTTTAGCTGGTCTCCGTTGCTCAAAGTCGGCTTTTACTACCTTGAATCCAAAGCTCCTCAATCTATCAGCAGTACGGCGCAGAGACCCCAGCAGACTCGCGAGTTTGCCGAAGCGAGTAGTTGGTTACCGTTGCGTCGTTAGAATAGTGAGCATTGTTGCACAGCGAGTACTAGGATAGGGTAGCCCCATTGTCTTTTCGCCAGCCGTGGAGGCTCATGATGGCGGAATCTTGATTAACTGCTTCTGCCACGTGGACGTCGCCAGCCAGAGATGTCGTTCGTCGGACGAGCCGCGAAATGGTACAGGGATAGCTGCATTTTGTTAGAACAATGCGTGTGGTATCAATAATCCTCCATTTCTTTAGGTCGTAGGGCGAGTTTTTTTCTGTGCTCATTTGATATTTGCTTCCACATTAATCGGAATAGGTACGAGCCGAATGAGGCGTCACCTAGATTCCTCCATCTCGCAACGGCTATGAGGTATCCTTCCTCCACGTACCTAGCCACCTATGAGGCGCCTCAGAAGTTTTTTTGAGGCGCCTCAAAAGTTCCTCCATCTCGCAACGGCTATGAGGTATCCTTCCTCCACGTACCTAGCCACCTACTTACGTAAGTATGTGTTATCAAGCTTTAATGAGCACATTTCAAGACGGTGCCTATAGGTTCGGTAACGTCCGTCGTACACCGAACGCTTTTTTCGCCAGCTCTCTATCTTAGCCGCCGTTACGCTGCCCCGGAGAAAGCATTTTTGTATCACTCCCCTCGTAGCACTCTTGTAACCCTACATTCTCCCTCCCCTGCCGTCTCCTTTACCCTCGCATGTATTCCCCAACACAGATTTATCCGCTATGCCTCTCCGCACCCTTCTTCTCTCCCACCGTTGCTTCTTCCTTACCTTACCTTTTGCAGCTGTTTTATATCATAACCAGTTATGACGCAACAGCATTTTGTCTCCCCTTGTCTCCCCTTGTCTTCCCTAATCGTCCGTTTCAGGTTGCCTCTTCGCCATGGATCTCCTCATTAGGCCGGCATTCATCGTACTTTGTCTCTACTCAAAAATACTATCTACTCTTACCTTCTCTTCCCTGCTCTCCCCTCCTCGTCCCGTCGTCTCTGGTTGCCTCTTGCACTCACGGCTCTCCTCGTCAGCACAGCAATCGTCCTGCTCCTATCATCGACTCCCTCGCAGCACGGCATCCCCACCTTGGACCTCCCACGCGTTCAAGGCAGCACGACCGCTGAACGCACCCTCGTTCAAGCTTCCTCACCCCTTTCCCTACTCTTTTCTGCCCTTCCCTGCTCTCCCTTTTTCGTCTCAGGTTGCCTCTTGCGGTCACGGCTCTCCTCGTCAGCACAGCAATCGTCCTGCTCCTATCATCGACTCCCTCGCAGCACGGCATCCCCACCTTGGACCTCCCACGCGTTCAAGCCAGCACGGCCGTTCAGACCAGCGCGCCCGTTCAAACCGACGCTCCAGAGCCGTCCGATCTTCACCGAGCAGCATCCGATGCAGGCGCCTTGACAGAGCTCCAATCAAGGAGATCTCCCCACCCGGACAGCATCAAACCGACCTATCCCAACCAGGACGAACCAGAGGACTCGGAGACAGACCCATGGCTCGAGAGCCTGTGTCTGGGGAAGCAGAATAAGGGCTGCGATCCTGATCCGAACGCCGGGAACCGCTTACGCTCTGGCTCGGAGGGTAAGGGGCGAGTTGGGGGGGTGGGGGGGGTTCAATGGGTGGAGCCAGTGGGAGATGAGCCTCAGTCGGAGATAGAGGCCATTTGGGCCGCTCATGCCGCCAAACACATGACGTTCGGGAAGGTGCAACAGCCCAGACGCCCGGCCGAGGCTCGGGAAGAGGTTCGGGAAGAGGCTCTTGAAGAGGCTGGGGACAAGGTTCGGCATCATGACTGGAGTGAGGGAAGGGGGGAAAGTATGGAGATAGGGGGGATGGAGGGGATACCAGAGGGCACGTCCTTGCAGCAGGAGAAAGAGGAGGAGCAGGAGCAAGCGGAGCAGGGGCAGAAGAGGAAGGAGGAGGAGCAGGAAGAGAAGGGGGATGAGACGCAGGAGGGAGAGGAGGGGGGGGACACAGAAAGAGAACAAAAGGAGCCGTGGCGCATCTCTTCCTTCTCCACTCACATCGGACTGTCCAGAGACATACGCCTCTCCTCCTCCACCGTCCATCGGAGAGTAATAGCAGCCAGAGCACCGCCCCCAACTAAGAAAAGCCCCCCTCCCAGATCCGCCACCTCAACTAGAAAACTCCCCCCCCCGCCTCTGCCAAGAAGATCCCCGCCTCCCCCCCGTTCCCCGCCCCCTCGCCCTCCCTCCCCCCCGCGCCCTCCCCCCCCTCGTTCCCCTCCCCCTCGTCCCCCACCCCCCAGCCCGAAGCCACCTCCGCGCCCTCCGCCGAGCCCTCCCCCCAGTCCCCCTCCACCCCCCGGGCCAAGGTGCGAGGGGAAGTGCTGCTCCAACGCTGCTCCCGCGCTCGCCCCCGGCGTTCCCAAGATGACGTCGCTGTGGCTCAGCAGCCAGCTGGCACACGGGGCTAGGGTGAGCCAAAGGGGATGGGTAATGTATGGGTGTTGGTGGGTATGGGTATGGGTATGGATAGGGGGTACGGGTATGGATAGGGGGTATGGGTATGGGGGTATGGGTATGGATAGGGGGTATGCATCATATACTTGTGACTTCTCTCTCCCCTTCCCATCTTCCTCTCCCCAGTTGATAGTGCGCACCAAGACGTGGCAAACGTGGTGGGCGGCAGCAGAGGGGGTCAACTGGGAGGGGCACGTTGCATGCCGGGTCAGCAGCACGCCCCGTCCCTCACAGTTGCTCACCATCATACCCTAAAAATCCCTGCCTGATTCCCTCCCTGCCAGGTGATAGTGCGCACCAAGACATGGGGCACGTGGTGGGCAGCAGCACTCCCCACACGCTCTCTTCTCTTCTTTCCTGAAATCCCTTTCTTACCTTCCCCCCTCCTCTTGTTCTCTCCTCCAGATAATAGTGCGCACCAAGACATGGGGCACGTGGTGGGCGGCAGCAGACGGGGTGAACTGGGAGGGGCGCGTAGGCCGGGTCTATTCCACGCCCAGTGCTTCACAGGCGCTCACCATCATTCGAGTCTCCGACACTGAGGTAAGAACAGGGATGGGGTTTATTCAGAATGACTTGCTCTTATATCCATGTGAGTGCGGATGTGACAGATGGGGTCAGCACCACGCCCAGTGCTTCACAGGCGCTCGCTCACCATCATTCGGGTCTCCGACAATGAGGTATGAGGGATGGAATGCCTTCGTATGCCCATGTCATGTGCGAGTGCGAGCAGCAAGAGATGGTTTTCTCTCACAATCACCCCCACTGCCTCACAGGCGCTCACCATCATTCGGATCTCAGACACTGAGGTAAGAACAATGGTGGGGGGTTTCTTATTTTGCCCATGTGCGGCGGGTCCTAGAGATGCGGTCTCACAGACCTGCATTCCTTCGTGCATTGCTCTTTCCATTCCAATGTCCCTTTCCCTTCATCTGCAGTTCCAGTTCCTGACTCCCAGCAACACCTTCCCAACAAAAGCAGCGTCCATGTTCCTGGAAACAACCACCAACTCCTCGGACCCGCTCACAGTGTTCACCATCGAATACCCACATCCCCTTGTTCCTCCCCCCCCCCCTCCCCCCTTTTACAGTTCCAGTTCCTGACTCCCAGCAACACCTTTTTAACCAAGGCCCCCTCCATGTTCCTGGAAACAACCACCAACTCCTCGGACCCGCTCACAGTGTTCACCATCGAGTATATCCCCGACACTGTCTACGTGGTCTTCAAATCCTTGAGACGTCTCAAAACCCGACACTGTCTACGTGGTCTTCAAATCCTTTTGAGACGTCTCAAAACCCGACACTGTCTACATGGTCTTCAAATCCTCCGATGGATGGTACATCTCACTCACAGGACGGCGACAAGGGGCCGCAGTTCAGCCAATCGCCCCTCAAGTGATCTTCTTCCCACCCCCCATTCTCCGCTCCCTTTCCCTGCAGTTCCAGTTCCTGACTCCCAGTAACACGTTCCTAACCAAGGCCCCCTCCATGTTCCTGGAAACAACCACCAACTCCTCGGACCCGCTCACAGTGTTCACCATTGAATACATCCCCGACACGGTCTACATCGTCTTCAAGTCCTCCGATGGATGGTACATCTCACAGAATGGCGAAAGTGGCCCGCAGTTCTGGTGGCAGGGGGAGCCGGGCGACTGGGAGCGGCTTGACGTGAGGGAGATCATGTGGGTGCCGGCGATTCGCGGGGCGAATCTGGGGTCGTGGCTCATGACTGAGCCGTGGATGAACAGAGAGGTGTTCAAGTTTGCTGGCTATGGTGATGGCACCCGGGTGAGTGGGCAGGAAGGGGGGGGGGGGGGGGAGGGGAGGACAAAGGGGAGGGGAGGGGAGGGGGAGGGAAGGGGAGGGGAGGGGGAGGGGAGCGGAGGGGGGGGGGGGGGAGCAAAGGGGAAGGAGTGGGAGGGAGGGAAGGGACGGTGAGGGGGGGGAGGGGAGGCAAGAAAAGAGAGGGAGGGGGGGGGGGAGGGAGGGGTGGGGGGGTGGGGATGGAGGGAAGTATCTCAACTATCCGCATATAATGTGTTTTTGCACCCCCTCCATCCCCCTTCCCCATCCTCCATCCTCCATAATATGGTTTTGCTCCCCCATCCCCCTCCAAACGCAGTTCCACTTCAATGTTGGCACACATAGCATTTAGATTCAATCGGGTTTTTGTCAATGTTTCTTGTTCCCTCCATTAAATTGTGCATGCATGGCATGGCATGGAATATGACATCCTGCATGTCATGGTGATGCATGGCATTGCGCACGCATGGCATGGTGTATGTGCGGCATGGTGCATGCATGGCAGTTCACTCTTCGCTCGGTGATATCGGGTCAATACGTCACAGCGCCCGGTGGTGGTGGAACAATAGTAAGTGGACACAACACACCTCTATCGCCACAACAGGTTACTTTCGCTTTTGACTCAATGTCACCTCGCTGGGTGATATTGGGTCAATACGTCAAACTATGTAACATGGTGATGCACCTCACGTGGTGGTGGAACAATAGTAAGTGCACATACATAGCATCACACTATGCTACTATCGTTTGTTAGCGGTCTGCAAAATCAATATCATTCCATCGACATCTTTGATCCTTTTGCTAAAATCCCTTTTAGCGATTATCCAATTGTGTTCTCTTGCGTATCCTCCAAATCTCCCTCATTGCCTCAACCAGATGTATTGCAACGGCTCCCTCAACAAGGACGCGCATCTGCCCCTCACCACCATCTTGAAATCCAGGACTTCCATGCCCCTCCACCCGTGTGCTCCTTTTGCCCTCTTGCCACAACCAGATGTATTGCAACGGTTCACTGAACAAGGACGCCTATCTCCACCTCACCACCGTTCGGAACGCCTCATCCAACACTCGCAGAGTAAGGCCCACCCTTACCCACTACTCTTTGGGGATTGGCGCAATCCATGGCACCTCAAAGGTCTCGGAGTAAGGCAGGCTGTTAAGTACTGCTCGTTTAAGGGTAGACGCCACTGTACTGCCTGCACACTGTACACTATTGCAAGCTACTTGCTATTCTCCTACTCACTGGATCAGCTTCCTTTATATGCTTGTTGGGTTCCTCTGTTCTGCCTAACTCTCCCTCACCAGATAGCCGTGCAGTGGCTGCAGTACTGGGCTGTGAGGAAAAACTCACCCAACGTCTGGGTCCAATCCACAGAGCCCGAGGTATGTAGTGTCAATCCGCGAAGCTTACTCTTCAGTTAATCCCACAATCGCCCAAGCATTTATGAACTATTCAAAAAGCGTGAGCTTACTCACTTTGCCTCGCCGTCTCTCCTCCTCGCTACAAGCATTTTGTTAGCTTCCTCCCGCTCTCCCACCGCCAACCCCATTCACCCCTTTTACTAATCACTAGGTCATAGCGAGCAACTTTGAGCTCTTCATCTTCGGAATACCTCTCAACGAATCAACGGAGCAGAGGGGAAGCAGTGTGCGCGTGGTGTTGCGTGCTCCCAACGGCCTCTTTGTCCAAGCCAACCCCGACGGTTCCCTTACTGCTGATCTTATCGATTCCCTCGATAATGACGCCATCTGGAGCAGCGCTGCTGCCTTCGACCTCACTGTGGTGAGTGTGACTTCATTCCCTTCCTCCTCTCTCCCTTCTCACCTCCTTCCGTCCGTCCCTCCCAAACCTCCCTTCCTCCCTCCCTTCGTCCCCTCGTCTCCCTTCCTCCCCTTGTCTCCCTTCCTCCCTCCCCTCATCCCCTCGTCTCCTTTCTGTATGTCCCATCAACCTTCACCCCAAATGTGCACTCCACTCCTCTCCCCATCAGCTATGGCGGGTGGAGGCGGATTGGCAGGCGGCATACACAGTCGGCGCGGCCGCCCCATCAATCTACGAGAACATTCGCCGAAACTTCATCACGGAAGCAGATTGGCAGAAGATGCAAGAGCTGGGGATCAACACAGTGCGCATCCCCCTGGGCTATTGGATAGCCCTCGACGCCTCCCCTGAGTTCCCCTTTGTGCCTGGAGCGGCAACGTATTTAGACTGGGCGTTTGAGATGGGGAGGAAGTATGGGGTGAGGATTTGGTTCAGTGTGCATGTGGCGCCTGGGTCACAGGCAGGCAAGGGGAATGCGCGGGATGGGCTGATCCGCTGGCGAGGGGCGAATATCAACCGCACGCTCGACTTCGTCACCTGGCTCGCTGACAGGTGTGTATGTTCTGTTCTTGATGCTGCTTTTGCTCATAGTTTGGTTAGTTTGTCAAAATTCCAGCCACTAACCACTTGGATAAAATGACTTGTTTGTATAGCGGATGAGTGCGCCCATAACTCCCCAGACCAACGTGGCTGTAACCTTTCCCTAAAATCAATCGGGGATCTTTAGTGGACCTCAAACACCCCTTTTCACGGTGATGTTCGAGGTGTATACACTGGGATTTGAACCCGAGACCATCGTTCTGATACCATGTCAGAATCCCAGCCACAAACCACTGGGATGCAAGGGCTTGTTTGTGTAGTGGGTGAGTGCGCCCATAACTTCCCAGGCCAACGTGGCTGTATCCCTTCTCTAGGATTTTTCAGAGATCTCCAGTGGACCTCTGACATAGTTTGTTTAGTGTCTGTCATATCTCTAAGGTGTGTTTTCAAGGCTAACTTGCTTGAATGGCTTCTTGCTCCCGCTTTCCGAACTTGCAGGTACGCCACCGACCCTATGTGGCTGGGCATGGGGCTGCTGAACGAGCCGGTGGTGCCGGGGGCCAACGGGTACGCGGGGGTGGATCTAGAGGACATGCGGGGGTACTACTCGGCGGCTTTCAACGCCATCCGCGCGCGCTGCCTGTGCTGCTTCGTGGCCATGGAGGGCCGCGTGGGCAGCAACTTTGGCGACGTGATGTGGCACATGAGCGACGCGTGGCACAACAACATGATCCTGGAGCAGCACATCTACGAGGTCTTCGGCAACTTCTTCAGCTCCCAGGGCGTCAACTTTGAACTTGATTACGCTTACACCACCCGGGTCAACAACATCGTCAGCTTCCAAGAGGTGGGCTGGGAAGGGATGGTTGTCTCAGTGTTCAACATATGTTAGTCTCATTGACTGGGGATCAAGTAAGCCTACACCACCTGGGTCAACAACAGCGTCAGCTTTCAAGAGGTGGGTGCGCTGCCTATGATCCCCGGCTTTCCATAAAGTCTGAGTTGCGGCAACTTCTTCAGCTCCCATTGTGTTGACTGGGAGATTGAATATGCCTACACCACGCGGGTTAACATTATCGTCAGCTTTCAAGAGGTGGTCTGCCCGCAGTTTGTGCATTTTCCTTCATTCTGAGTCAACTCAGCAAGAATCCGTTCGTTTGAATCTCGCTTGCTTTTCGCTCTCAACGTCTCATCTTACCTGTTTCACACGACACATGCCGAACGTCCCGTTGCGTTGCTTTCTCTCACGTATTCTGTCCCGTTGTGCTGTGGGCAGAAAGTGGGGCGGCAGCTGTTGGTGGGGGAGTTCTGCAATGCAATGGGCAACCCTGCAACACCGGAGCAGCAGGCCAACTTCTCCCTCGGCCAGATGAAGGCATTCAGCCACGCTAAGGCTGGTTGGTTCTTCTGGTCCTGGAAACTTAACACCACCGGTACGTGCTTCCCTCTTAGAGCGTGTTCCTATGGCCTCTTGTCAGGCCTACCCCATATCAGATTTGTGCAAACTCGAGATTTTCGTTATTAAAACCGAATTTCAGACTTGTATTGCGCGATTAAAATCCGCGCGTGCGCGAAACCTTTCAATCGCGCCACATCAGCAAACCACACCGAGACCCTGCACTGAACATGTGCAAACACAGGTCTGTTTTGTCGAGAACGGGGCTACAGTTTTGTTTTTCAGCGGGCTGTGGCACCAACGATTTGTTCACGATTCTCTGGGACGCCACAATGTGAAATTCGGAACCTGACGTTTTTTCTCAAACCGAGCTCCCTTGCCCAGATTTTCGGGCAGTACAGGAAAGCTGTTCACGATCCACGTGCCACATCACCTAGGCTATAAAATTTTCACGCACGTTGCAATACTAGAAAAGCGTCCAATACGAATTCGCCTTACACTGAGAAATGTGTGATTGGGGCGAGTCTGACTAGAGGTTGTCTGACAAGGGCCCTGTAGGAACACGCTCTTACCGCGCATCCCTCTTGCCAAAGGTTTTTACCGTGTTTCTTCCCTCGGTCTGAAAACTTTACATTACCCATCTGTACATGCACTCCTTTTTTATATTTTGCTGAATCGTTTTTTCCTCGGTCTTCAAATGCGGTTTTCTTTGCTCTTTGTGACACGTGTTTTTCCTTCCGATTCTGCAGGGACACATCACTGGCAATTTGTCAACAGTTACGAGCGAGGCTGGTTACCCAAGAAACCTGATGGCAATTGGTATTGAATCATTTGAAATCGGCCTGAACAAAACGGCTATCATAGATGTGCAACGACCGTTGCACTTTGGAATGGATTCCGTTTATCCAAATTTGTAACATAACGTTTTTATTTAATTTGAGTTGCAAAACCCATGTACTTGATTTTGTTACTGGTATTTGGCTGCGATCCCTGCTTGTCTTGTCCTTGTGAGCGAGACTTAAAACTCCGGTATACATTTGAAAGGAGGGGTTCAAAATCCTTAGGAAATTGAAAAGTTGCCCCAAAACTGAGGCACACTGTAAAACCCTGAACCTCTCTGACAGATGTATACTGGAGTTTTGACACCTTGGTGGGTCAGGCCTCAACCTAGAATGGAAGGGAATTTTTCACTAACCTTGTCACGACGCACACCACACAAGCAAGCACTACTGAAAACAATTTCAAAATGGCCTACATTTGAACCTCAATCTCTGCGCATTGACATATCCGAGGCCATGGTGTACTGAGGCGGGAACGACCTGTGATTGACCGTTTCCGTTTTCATCAGTCAAGTTGCGAATGATTGACCATTTCCGTTTCAGTCAAGTCGCGAATCATTGCATTTCCGTTTCAGTCAAGTCCCGAATAATTGACCGTTTTCGTTTCAGTCAAGTCGCGAATCGTTGTCGACATCAGCAACTATGAACGTGGAGGTGCGTGCGACTCGAAGCTTCTCCCGCTTGGTTTCACAGTGACCTTTCTTTTTGTTCTGCTTACTTACAGCCGTATTGTCTCCTTAGTTCGCCGACAGTACCCGTCATCATCCGCCATTATCCCGCATTATTCCGTCGTAACAGTCATGATGCTGTCATCATTACGTCATGCTCCCGTCGTGGTTCCGTCATGATCCCGTCGTGATTACGTCATGATCCCAACATGATCACCTTCACTTCGTTATCCTCTGTTTTCCGATTTTTTGAGTCGACTCAAAATTTGCCTTGCTCCACAATGGCGTCAGGCGATCCTTCGTCGACATCCTTCCAAGAAGCTTCGTCGTGTTTTGGAGGACCCCTCCGCGTTCAGGTTCCAGGTACAGAAAGCGTTTTCACAATATCCGTTTTCTGAACTCCATTTGTTATCCGTGGCTCAGACACTCAGCCTTATAGTTTTGGTTTTACAACTGGAAAAAAAGAAAGCAAGCAATCGAACAAACAAAAACAGCTGTGTGAACGCAATGCTTTTCTATTTGCCAGACGTGACATCCTTTCGTTCTCCGCCATCCATTATCCCAGGTGCTTGTATCAGAAGTGACTGCAAGTGCTAACGGCCAGCCTTGTTTGCGTCGCCATGGCTATCGAGTGGACCATGAGTACTTCTATCCTGCCAGGTGTGCTGCCCATGCTGCACTAAGCAGATGCTTTATCCTGCCAGCTGTCTTTCTTTCTTTCCTCGTTCTTCGGACTGCTGTCCGTCAGTCCACCACTTTACAGCATAAAGAAGCCTGCTTTTTCCTCCTCTTCCTCCTCCTCCTCCCCCTCCTCCTCCTCCTCCTCCTCCTCCTCCTCCTCCTCCTCCTCCTCCTCCTCCTCCTCCTCCTCCTCCTCCTCCTCCTCCTCCTCCTCCTCCTCCTCCTCCTCCTCCCCTATTGTCTGTCTTCTTTCTGTAAGATTCTGCATCTTTCCTCTTCCCATCCCTTTTTAGTCTGACTCTCTGGCTTGCCTTCCTCCTGTTCTTGTCCGCCTTCTTCGCGTGTCATCCTTTTTCCTTGTTTTTATTCTTGTTCTTAACTTGTCTCTTTATTCTTGTTCTTAACTTGTCTCTTACCCCACACCCGTCTCCTCCCTACCGTATTTGTCTCCTCCCTTCGTGTGTCTGTCTCCTCTCGTCATTTTCCTCTTCTCACCTTTTTACCTCTCAGTGCCATCAAGCTGTGTGCTGCAGTGGTGGCTCTTCTAAGAGTGGCAGAGTTCCAAGGTGAGACTGGTATATTGGGGCACGTTCGGTTTGAATGGGTTCAAAGCGGTTCCCTTGAGGAAGTGACGCAGTGTTGTTTTCATGAGAGCCTGACAGAATAAACAGCGAATTTGGTATACCTTGCATGCACATGTTTCTGCACTTCCGTCTCCCGAGAACGTGGCCTTGTTGGTTTGGCTTCGCACCGTCAGCAGAACACTTTTTTTTCAATCCTAGACCCCCACTCGAGCTCATGTGATGCTGCCCCCTCCGTTCCCCGCCTTGTTGCCTCTACATCACGTACCAACAGAGGCTGTTTCCACTCCTTTTCACTGCCCCCCCTCCTCCCAACCCACCCCCCCGCCTTCTCTCCCTCTATTCATCCTTGCAGCTCGAGGGGTGAACATATCGTTGAACTCGCCTCTCTCCTTCCTCCCTCTGTACCCCGGAGACAAGGAGGAGAACCACGATCCGTCCAACCTGAACGGAGGGCATATCACCATTGCTCATGAGATCAGAAAGATGTTATTGGTGAGTATCGGGGTGACTTGTTGCACACGGTTTTGAGAACCCTGAAAAACTGCCTACCCCGGAGACAAGGAGGAGAGTCACGACCCGTCCAACCTGAACGGAGGGCACATCACCATTGCCCATGAGATCAGGAAGATGCTACTGGTGAGTGCTGTTCCTGGCGAGATCGGAAAGAGGATTTCGACGTGTATGAAGATTGGTTTTGAGACATCTCAAAACCAATCTTCATACTGGTGAGTGCTGTTCCTGGTGAGATCGGAAAGAGGATTTTGGTTTGTTCTCTAGTCTATGCGGTTTTTGCCGTTCCTTTCTTGATGTGGTTCAAATCTTTGTCTTCTTCCGTGCTTGACTCAGGTGTCTAGCAACACGGCCTACAACAGGCTCTATGCCTTGATAGGACAAAGGCGTCTGAATGAGGCCATGTGAGTATCACTGCCCGAAAGCAACTCTATGCCTCATAGCAGCGAGGTGACTTTTTTTTTTGGCTCAAAATTCACCACGGGCAACACGGCCTACAACAGGCTCCTATGCCTTGATAGGACAAAGGCCACTGAATGAAGCCATGTGAGTATCACTGCCCGAAAAAACCCTCAATGCTTTCATTCATAGCAGCAATGCTTATCCATGGGTAGGACAGGCGAATCAATGAGTCAATGTGAGAATCGTTGCACAAAAACAACTCGATGCCTTCGTTCGTAGCAGAGCGGCGATGCCTATGCCTTGATAGGGCAGAGGCAACTCAGTGAGTCCTTGTAAGTCGTTGCCATCACTGACGACATGGCTTGCAGTTGGTAGCAAAGCAGAATGACCTTCCTTCTTATTTCCATTCTTCGCTCTTTGTTTTGGCACTCTCTGGTTCCATTTTCCACCCACCACCTTACCTCCCACATGTTTCCACTTCGCATTCATTTCTGCAAGCAAATGAGCTTTATTTCTTCCTTGCCGTCCCTTCTCTCCAGGCACTCCGTGGGTCTCTGTTCCGCCCACCTCTCCCACCGCCTCTCCATCCCCCTCTCTCCTCTCGACAACCGGCGCTGCGAACCCGTGCTAGTGGGCGTGGAAGGAAATGCATCCGCCTTCTGCTTACCTCCCAAGTGCAGCAGTCATGAGCTGCCTCCGGTGGAAGGAGTGGAGGGGTTGCTGATTGGGAGTGCTTATATTGATGACAATGGCACCAAGGTGGGTGTGCTTATATCAGTGCCAAAAACACCAAGGGGGGTGTACTCATATTGTGATTTGTGTGAGAGAATATTTAAAATTTGCTATGGCTGTTATAGGCGTATGTGTTTTCTCGGTGGATTTTCAGATGTCTCAAAGGTCAACCTCATGCCAAGGTGACTGGTGAGACGATTCAAAAGTGGGTGTGCTTGTATTGTGATTCGTGTATTAGGGGACTTCAGGTAGGTAAGTAGCTGTGGCTGTTGGGGCATCCGTGTTTCCTTGGTGTACTTTTTAAGTTTCAGAAGCTACCCTCATGCCTTTATGTTTCTTTGCTTCTGTTTGTATGGGGCAACATGGGAAACGGTTCACTATTTTCTCCATCGTTTCCTTTTGCTGAAGTGACGACTGTTGTTCGTACACCATGTTCTTGTTTTTTCCCAATCGCAAGGGCATGATGATTGTGATGCAATGAGTGTGGTGCTCTGTGGTGCAATGATCGTCATGGTATGGCATGCATGCATGGCATGGCATAGCATGGCATGGCATGGCATGGCATGGCATGGCATGGGATGGCATGGGATGTTGGTGGTGGATTGGTATTGCATGTCATGGCATGGTATGGCATGGCGTGGTATGACATTGCATGGCATGGCATGGCATGGCATGTTGGTGAATGGCAGGCGGGTCTTTACAGGTCAATTCGCCCTTGGACTTTGCCCCCAAGAATCGCTTGACTCTCGTTGACCTGCAGAACCTCCTCGTGCTGCTCATGCGCCCAGACATACAGGTGTACCATAATGCATGTGCCAGATGTGGTGTGTGCGAGCATGTACTGTTCATGGTAATTTCAATCAGTTTTCTCCCCCAAGAATTTATTGACTCTCGTTGACCTGCAGAACCTCCTCGTGCTGCTCATGCGCCCAGACATACAGGTATACCATAATGCATGTGCCAGGGTTTAGGAAGGATCCAGCTGCCTTGGCTGCCAGCCAATCAGATTGGACAAGGGACACAGGCTGCCGCTGCTGGAGGCCATGAGGCAGCAGTACCCAACCCACCACGGGAGAGGCCCCTACGACTTATCAAGAAGTGTCTGTGAGGACTTCATCTCTCCCTCTCCTCCTCCCCTTTTGCCACTGCCTGTCACCCAGCTGCCTGGCTGCCAGCCAATCGGATTGTAGAGGGGCACAGGATGCTGCTGCTGCTGGCCATGGGGCAGAAGAATAAACTATCTTCACGGGAGACTCTTACGGCTATTCTGATGTCTCCTCTCCTTGTATTCATTACCAGTACCTATGTTGGAAAAAACGCTCGGGCTTCTACGCGTATCACGTTTATACGAGAACGTATATACGGAAAAACGTGATACGTTCCGTAATCCGCGATACGTTTCGTCGGGCAGCCTGAAAAAAAAAGAGAAAAAATCTGTTGCCGCTGATTCCGCGATCTGCAATTCTGTGAAACCTAATTTTGAGATTCGAAACTCGAATGCCCCCCTCCCCTCCCCTCCACCGCACATCACCTCACACCACCTCCCAAACCCAACCTTCCCTTACGAGCTGCTCGCACGTCGGCGTGAGTACAACAGCGAGAATCTCATTTGGCTCACGCCAAGTTTACTGCTATTGCTAGCAGCGGCGTCGCGTCACTTGCATTGCAGATCTTAGCAACCGCAATATTAGGACGATTCTAGCCAACAATTCCGTACTGGCGTAAACCCCACGGGAGTTATCCGCATCAAGTATTGCTTAAGTTCTTTCCCTAAAAGCATTCTACGTCAACCGAAATGTTTTTCCCCTGCCCTAGAGATTTTTAACCTGCCCGACGCACCGTATTTCGAGGTTTTTTGTACGCTGGAAAATTGCGTATCGCGTATGTACGATACCGTATAGTTCGTATGCGTTCAGTACGCCATACGCGTATTTTCCAACATAGACCACTACCCCCCCCAGCTGCCTGGCTGCCAGCCAATCGGGTTGGACGAGGGTCACAGGCTGCTGCTGCTGGAGGCCATGAGGCAGTACCCACGGGAGTCCCACAACCCCAGATATGCCGACAAGAAGTACACGGATGATTACTGCAAGGTGCGATGTGGTGCGATGGGGTGTGAAGCAGTGTGGTGGGGTGTGGTGCGGTTCGACGAGGTGTGATGAGGTGTGTTCGGGTGCTGCTGCTGGAGGCAATAGGGCAGGGGAGTCCCACAACCCCAGATATGCCGACAAGAAGAGTACACGGCTTATTACTGCAAGGTGTGATGCGATGTGATGGGGCGGGGAGTGGCGTGATGGGTTGTGATGAAATGTGATGGGGTATTCAGGGGTATGATGTGGTTTGATAGGGTATGAAGGGGAATTGGTCAAAGACAACGGGGAATTCTTCTCAACCAATGGCGTCAAAGAAGGGCAGTTCCACCCACTGAGAGGCATATGCAAGTATGGGTTTTTCTTCCTCCAGCAAACTTTTTTTTTCTGGCTCTGCCCGTGCAGTTTTTTCTGCCCGGATTGTGCCGAGTGCGGCCAAAGGAATCTCTGCACGTCTACAACAAGATTGGGCAGGCGTTTGGCTTCACTATTGATAATGCGTGAGTCGTGCCATGGGATTCGCTTCACTAATTTGCAATCCCCAAGAACCAATCAAGTCCAGTTTTTTGGTGTCTTAGTGCACTTCCTTAACTCTCCTGGGTGAAATGGAGTCATGAGTTATTTTTGGCTCTTTGCTCTCTTTTTCCTTCAGAAACTCTGAGAGCAGGATGTGTCAGTTATGTAGCCTGCTTGAACAGGGGTGTGTGAAAATAGACTCCTTGTTGAAAGGAACGAGCAGCGAAGTATTTGTCGATGTTATATCACGTCACCCTTCCCTCCATACGCTCTCCCCGTCCCTCTTCTGCCCAGCTGTATCATTGCATACCGACAGACAAGAATAGCTTTTTTATAATCTCTTGTTAAGCGCACTAACGGCATGAGTGTACCAGTGACACCATATAACATACCTCACCTGATGTACCTCCCTACTCCCCGTTTCCCCTCCCCCCTCCTTCACCCCTCACCCCACACATTGCTCCCCACCCCAACCCCCCCGGGCCACCTCTTCCCCCTCCCCTCTTGCCTTCCTTTCCAGATATATTCTCGATATAGAGACAGGGAGGGAGTTCTTCCTCTCTCTTGCTCTCTACACCAATGAAAACGGCTGCCTGAACGACGATAAGTATGAGTATGACCTGGCGTATGACGTGGCAGCTGACGTGGCAGAGGCCATTGCCAGGGCCCTGTGGGATGATAACAGCAAGGCTCAAGACCAGGATGACATGGCAGCTAAGGTGGTCCCTGGTGCGTCCGATGATGCATCATCTGATCTGGCAGCTGATGTGGCAACTGACGTGGCAACTGACTCATCAGCTGACGTGCCAGCTGATGTGACAGCCGATGTGACAGCCGATGTCGTAGCTGATGTCGCAGCTGATGTGGCTGCTACTGCATCAGAGACAAAAACTTTGAAGGAGGAGCATCTTTCTCCCTCCCTGGCATCCATATCGCTCGGAGCCTCTGATGCTTTTCAAGTTTCAAATGTGCCATCCTCCTGTTGTTTTGAACCGCCTCAAAAGAGTATTCCTGACGCTGTGGCCTGTCTGCCATCAACGCCATCCACCGATTCCTCTCAAAGTTCTGATGCACCAGGCTCAACTGTCAACGCAGAGAGCCTCAGCAACAAGACCCTGCTCCCTGTATACACGTTCTTCGTTGATGAATGATGGAGCTGCCTTACTGTAGCTTTGCTTATTCGAGTATAGCAAACTACCTATGTTTGAGACAAATCTTGGGGGTACGTTTGTGCGAAATATGCTACACCCAACCATTGTGTACGGTAAGTTACTCAGACCATTCTAGTGATAAATCATCCCAGCCCTTGGTGAGTCACATGTTTGAATGGTTCAATTTAGGGTTTCTGAATAGTATAGTAGAGCCAAGTAAGGTGGGCGACCAGACCCTGACGCAATTGTGGGATGCGTATACACAGTAACGTGGTACTTCAGAATGCAAGTGAGAAAGGTCATTTGGCAAGCTCTGGACTAGTACAGTACGGTAGATCTAATCCAATGTGCTCTACCTGGGACATTGATCCAAGTACATGCCATGAAACATGTCAAACTGCAGCTCATCATGGCTGGCTGGCCATGGTCGGTAAAGTAGGGACAGGGTAGACAGAAGCAATTCCTTGTGTGTCGAGATGTCGTGCACGTCCTGATCTCTCATCCCAACAGATGTCAGCCAACTAGCTTCTTTTCCACGCATAGATAGTTATTTACACCTTGCAGCCGAAGTTGATAATCACAGCACCTCTGCATTGGAAACACAAATGAGGTGCAGCAACAGAGATGGAAAACTTGGTGTGAGCAAAACAAGAACATCCCAACAACAGCGACAAGGAGGCTGGATGAGGGAGGGAGTCTACCAAGTGTAATGTAAGCTGCAGGTATCAAGTTAAGATGCACACGTTCAGCATATTATTTACCATGGTAATCTCGAAGACATCCAGTATGGTACACTACACTATTGTTCATTGGAGTGTGGTGTCCAGGGCCTTGGACTTGCCAGAAGGCGGAATATACCCACAGAACCAACGTACTTACCAATGTAGCTGCAGTTACCATGTGGGGCTCTAGTCCCTTAGCTGCATGTATCATGTGAGTTAACGATCAAGACAATACACTACCTGTTTAATGGAGTGTGGTTGTCCAGGGCCTTGGACTTGCCAGTGGCAGAAAACGCCCACAGAATTAAGTTCCTCCCAGTGTACTTCACAGGGACAGTACCCTTAGGGCCAGAGCGGGTAAACCTGTTTGTACGGTAAAAATCAGAACAAGGAGAACAAAACATGTGTTCAGTTCAGAAACAGCTGAGTGATTGAGGGAATATGAGACTACCAACACATGTTACGGAGACAAAGGCAGCTGGAGCGAGCCAAACTGGCAAGAACGGGCTGGCTTGTTTACTCCAAACCCTACGTCCAGACAATGAGAGGCTGATATACTTGAATGATGCCTTACAGGGTTTTCTCAGCCCAGCAACACAGAAGCACACTACTAGCACAAATAAAGCAGCATGAGTGAAGACCAAGCAGCAGCACTATTTAACTCGAAGCTCACTAAAGCGCGCGAACTCACTTCATGATGGTTCCCTGGGGGTTGGTAACCACGCTCGTTTTTGTGATCGCGAACTTGTTCGTCCTCGTTACCGACGATTTCGTAATGCTCCCCATGTAGTACGGACCAATCACGTTCGGCCGAGGCAGGTTCCCGATCACCGCATCTGAGCCGGTCATCTTGCCCGCCTTGGAGAATCCGACGGATATCCAGCCCTTGTGAGCGCCGCTCGCAGCTTTTGCCTCCAACGCGAAGTTCAAGGTCGTTGGGTTGACGGCCTTCCAGTGTAGCACCAGCCTGATCAAGCGAGACACGGGTTCAAGGGGACGAAAGGTACAGTAAAACCAGACGTAAGAATATCATGAGACATGGGTAAGTGGCGGATAATATGTGACATTTTTTTTAGCTTTTGCCTCCGACGCAAAGTTCACGATGGTTGGGTTGACGGCCTTCCAATGTAGCACCAGCCTCATCAATCGAGACACGAGTTGAAGGGGAAGAAAGGTACAGTAAGACCAGGCGTAAGATCATTTTGGTGCATGGTTAAGCGGCGAATGATATGCTACATTTTTTGCTGGTGGAAGCTAGTGGGCTTGCAATGAGTGCAAGGAAAGAGATTAAATAAGGTGAAGCGTAGATGCCGGCAAATTACAGAGCGATACCGTGTGACTGAAGGTAAAGTTTTACAAATTTCAGCCCTAAAAATTGTAGGGCGTCGAGCGGAAAGAAAATTTAGACACGGCCGGATGGAGTGGTTTGGTTGGTGGTTATGGGTATTGGATGGACCATGCACTGCTGGAGAAAACTCGCGAAGCGCGAAGGCGAAGCATGAACCTTCATTCTTGAAAGGGAAATACGGAAATGCGGAAACCGCGCATTGCGGTCTGTGGGAAGTTTATTTGACTGAAGCAACTTCTTGTGAAGTCTAGTCGACTTAAGTACAGACCAGGCGTAGCCTTACCCTTTCCGAGTGAGAGCGGCGGCGTTCGTGTAACCAGGTAACGTCGACTTGAAGCATTTCGCCACGGGGACCGGCGCTGCAGACACGCCGCGCATGCCGGCGCCATAAGAGAAGCAGCCTCCGGCGGCTACTAAGATGAGAGCTAGTACGGCGAGGGACGTGAACGGGACCCGCGGGACACGGTGGGACCCTAACCCACGCTGGATTCGGCGCGTCGCGATTATGCGGGAATATCCAACCATGGCGTCAACAGGAACTGCAATTTGCAACGCGCACAAGTGGAGGTGTTACGTTGTTTCTCGGAGAGAAACAGAGCGCTTGTTTAGGGTAGCAATCAACAACCGTGTCGCTGGCTTGTGAGAAACCGCACAAAATGGAATGAGGAATGCATTATCAAACCCTCAAGGTCTACACAGTGCTGTCGTGGAGATGTAATAGCTGCGAGGGCGAGAGGATTGGAACTTTGCTCACTAGCCGCCAGTGCAAGATTGAGGCGAGAAATGCACCACGGCAATCAGCGTTTCCACGGAGAGAATTTCTCCAGACCCGGAAACGGTGATTTGCCGTTGCATACGTAGCCTAGAATCGCTACCGTGGTCGGACAATTCGATGAGAATTGCTCGAGTGGTCTTGCCAGAGGTTTCCTCTGGCATTTGTTTTTATCCGGCACATTACCCAAAATCGGTTTTTAGCCCTGAAATTCTTACGTCGAACTTGTCTCTTCCTGCGAAAGTGTGACGCACCCGGAAAGACGTACACGAGGGCGGCGCCGTCACTGTTTGGATACGCGAGAAAATCGGCACGGTAATCTAGGCAAACAGTTGCGCTCAATTTCGGTCCATGTCGTAACCAATCCGCGCATAGTTATATGATTCCCCGATCATATACTCAGTTGCACAAATGTCAGTACGCGCGACCAATTACACAGTGCACTTTATTGGTCGACTTTATGCGTGGGGCCTTTTCTGACCTTGTGCGTCCAATCAGACGCGGTCATGTAAAATTGTGCTCATATAAAATCGCATATTTACCTATATGAGCGCGCATATGTGATGCTCAAATGTGTATGTGATATGTTTTATTAATATAAAACTATGTTAATAAATTTGAGAGACGTTATCACTACCAGCGTTTTGCCATTATACCTATATCAAACTGTTCATACCTATATCGCACATCTTGATATAGGTATAATGGCAAAATGTTGGCAGTAATAATGTCTCTCAAATTTATTAATATAGTTTAAGATTAATAAAATAGATCATACACACATTCGAGCATCACATATGCGCGCTCATATAGGTAAATATGCGATTTTATATGAGCGCGATCTTACATGACCGCGTTTGATTGGACGTGCAAGGTCAGAAAAGGCCTCGCGCATAAAGTCGACCAATCAGGCGCACTCTGTAATTGGTCGCGCGTACTGACATCCGTCCAACTGAATATATGATCGTAGAATCATATAACTATGCGCGGATTGGTTACGATATGGGCCGAAATTGAGCGCAACTGTTTGCCTAGATGAGTGTGCTGATTTTTGTCGCGTATCCGAATAGTGGCGTTTTCGCCCTCGTGCACGTCCTTCCGTGTACGCCACACTTTCGCGGGAAGAGACACGTTCGAAGTAAGAATTTCAGGGCTAAAAACCGGCTTTGGGTAATGTGCCGGATTAAACAAATGCCAGAGGAAACCTCTGGCAAGACCACTCGAGCAATTCTCATCGAATTGTCCGACCACGGTAGCGATTCGAGACCACGTGTGCAACGGCAAATCACCGTTTCGGGGTCTGGAGAAATTCTCTCATTTCCACGGCTAGGTAGGTTAGGGAAGGGCGTTTCTTGGAAGAATGTCGGTTTTGAGCGCCCTGCTTGCATTCTTGGATGTGAAGGTCGGGTGTTGGGTTGCGTGTCGGCGAAACAAGCCGATCAACCAATGGCAGGCTCTCAGACATAACGGCCGTGTCCTTTCTCCAAGTCCCCCGCCGACAATCCTTCGGTTTGTTTACTGTATATTTCAAAATGCTTCCCCAGAGGGTGAGATGGCTTTGTTGCTCCGAAATGTTTTGCTCTGAACTGAACCCCTAGCACGAACTAAGGGCGTGCTACATGTTTTACATCAGCCCGTCCGGAAAAGCAGTCGTCCGGACCTTTTAGCGGCTACCTTACTTTCGTCAGTTTCCTCGTTAGACCACTTACGGACCGATTATGGAACATTATGCGTGAATTGCCTTTCCAACTCGACCGGACAGTTACAGTTCGATAAGTGGACGGACGTAGCAGTAAAGCAATTTTATTGGTTTACGATTCGAGCCTTTCAGTCGCTTGAGTGTTACCTTTGTCGCAATCTCGTCGTGATCATGGTGACAACCTAGCGAACACTCTGAACTTCGTCAGGCTGAAAATGATTCATAAACAACGTCGGACGAGGTTTAGTCTGGACGATGGACCCGGACTGGCCGAGATTCGGAATCTGAACCGTTCTCGGATGGCTGTCCGGATTTTAGCCGCTGTTGAAAAATGTAGCACGCCCTAAGAGCACCGCTGTTCACTGGGCTCGATATAGATTCTGCCCCTCCCGCTTTTTGTGATGGGCATGCTGTTGTTGATGGGTGACTACTTGCAGCACGCAATACCTCATTATAAAC